ATAGTGCATTAATCCGCAATTACATCCCTGCATTGCACACAATCAAGTGCCAGGCATTGATCGTCGGTTGCGTTATCGTCCACGGCGACCACGTCTCACCTGGCTGTACGCTGCTTTAGAGTCTCAGCGATTTAAAACCTACATCTGTTTAGGTATTTCGCCACCCACCCCTTGCTGGAAGAGCCAGATTTACAGGCCTGAGGCCTCTTGCACCAAAATGCTCTTGCACCAATGCTTGGATTATTTTGCATCGTATACCCAATCCAAGACTCAAATGTGACAATTTGCGTGTAAAATTTACCAAGCACCTGTAGGATTATGTATTCACTGAAAACTAAAATGATTCCGGGGGTGTGATATTAGGAGAATGGTCTAAAACGAAACCCCAATTATTCCCGTAATATACTTCAAGTAGCACCTTTTTGGCCTTAGATACCCCCAATATCCCAACATTATTACCCTAATATGCCTGTTGCATGGCTAAGTGGAATCAAAATGATTATCTGGTTATGCCTCCATTATTCTTACGAAATGCCTAGTGTATTCCCCCTAAATCTCCTCTATGCCCCTTTGATGCCACCTAGCATAGTTCGGATGCTCCGTCTAAACCCGATCTATGCTCCTTTGATGCTATCTATATACCCCATTGATGCTCCTTTGATGCTTGCTATAAACCCCATTGATGCTCCTTTGATGCTCTCTATGCACCACATTGATGCTCCTTTGATGCTCTCTATACACCCCATTGATGCTTCGTTCCGCAGTGGCGGATCAAGGGATGGGCTCGCGGGGTCATGCTATTCCTCGTGAGATCCCCATGAGATACCTAGCGCACTGATTTCTTTACCCACACAAAGGTAAGAGACGCCATTTATGTAACCACCTTCGCCCTTCCTCTGAATTTCCTGGATCCGCCCATGCCATCGACGCTCAGCCACACCAACAGCAACCACGATACGCTTGTGTGTATAAGAAAAACGTACTGTATTGATTGGAAAGACAACTGCCTCTGCATTCATTTCAAAATCACAGCTTCCTATAGTTGCCAAGAGACATTCAATTTGTACATACTATCCATATTAAACATACGTCACGCACACGCCTCATACAATAACAAACAAATAACAAATGCCATATCACATGTTGAGATCCAGGCTGTAAAAAAAAAAACACATGACACACGAGAAGCGCTGCTGGCTCTTCTACGATGACCGTTGTTTTGCGACTCTTACGAAGGAGTCGCAAAACAACCGGTGCCCCTTCAAATGGCGTGGTTTTTCCCACCTTCGCTACACAACGAAAGTTGAGCGTGTGGCTCCTACGAGTTCTCCCTCCCTGACCTCAAGAAGTCCGACAACGTAGCCCAGGGGCTGCCACAGGATGTCAACAGGCCCGCCCATGCCGCTTGTGACCCCTTTCCCTGTGGGGCGGGCCATCACGTCCATCTCCATCATCTCCGTCCATCACTCCGTCTCCACTCCGCCCCTGGGCTTACCTCACTGCGCGGGCACACTATGCTGTCAGCACCGACAGATTTTTCAGCGCGTCCGCCGTCGCTGTTGACTCTGCCGGCAGCCCCATGATGTCGTGGACGATGAACCACATCGTGGAGCGCGATGCACGGGACACTTTCTGGTTGAAGACGTAGTAGGCGACCCCGAAGAGAAGGAGTGCCTCTTCAAGGCACTGGGCGCTGGCCACCACTGTTTCTTCGACCACGATGTCGAACTCGTCTCCCGCTCGTGTATCAGGGGACGTGTCATCGTCGCCGCTGGCGCCTCCATGACGACCGTTCCCTCCTCACCCAGAAGGCGCAGCAGTACCAGCGCCGCGTCCTCTGTGGATCAGGCAAGGAGGACGACGGACATATCACTTACTCATTTGAGAATATTTTTTATTCACACTGACGGCTCCAGGGATGCTCACACAATACTCAAGAGTATGAGGCAATCCCCCCCCCCCCCAATGCATTTTGTATAAGATTGGTTGAACAGGTTCGCTTATACTCGATATGTAAGAAGTTAACATGTATCAGAACAACGATGTTCAACTGTTGGGTACCTACCTATTTAAACAAATATAATGCTGTATAATAATGATCTCATTTAGACATCAGAAGCACAAGTACACGCAACCTTAGAAGAACACTACATATGAAAAATCAAGGGCCTAAGTCAATCCAAGCATTTCATCGTCATTCGTCATATGAGTTCCTGCTAAGGATGGTACTCACCCTCAATAAGGCTCAATTCCAGCCTAAAAATGGCACCACTCGCAACCACACAGCACCCAACACCGCTCTTCACTGATCACCGGAAATGGCGGAGAAAAATGGCGGACCTTTGGCGCGTTCCTGATGGCTCCAGCGAAGAATCATTGAGGAATACTATGGTTCTACTCGGGTGATATCAAGAGTATTTTGAAAGAATCAGGCAAAGGAAGCATAACAGAAGAATATGAAAGCATCTCAAGGGAATATGAGCCTCCCTGTGATTCCGGCAAGATACCCTCTGGGCAATGAAAGGTTATATTGCAAGAATAGATAGAGAATCATAAAGGCATTACTATCAGCGACTGGGGTATCAACAGCATCTTATACGCACGGAATCATGCAGAATCATTTGGGGTATCAATGGCATAATATGGTTCTCACAGGGTGATATCAAGAGCTTATTAAGAGAATCAATAATTCATGGAGGTCGAGGGAATATCATGGGAATATGAAGCCAACTGCGATTCCATGAATATACCCCATAGGTATAATGAAGAGATCAAAAGGGAATAATTGGGGTATAGACTTCAATGATTAGGGCATCAGGAGATTCATTTTGGTTTTCAGTGTTGGGCTATTGCAAACAAATTTACCACCGTTTGATTAGCTTATTCTGAAACCGGTTTTTCGATTTTACCTAGCTAGGTAGTTTGGTGCAAGAGGCCTCAGATAAATGTCAGTCAGCGGGGTTCGCAGTGTTCCGCTATATGATGTTCCTAAATTTTGCCGTTCACCTGGAATTTCCCGAACGGGCGGCAGAGGTCAGCACCTGCGCAACAAGACCGGCTTAGCGTGGGTGCCGGTCTAAAAAATACGCCCATAAGAAGCACTCAAACCAGATAGCTTTGAAGAACAAAAAAAAAGCAAGGAAAGCAAGGTCAGCTAAAAACAACGGGCCGCAGACGCGCCAAATTTTAATTGCATGCAGGGCATTGACTGAAGGTTATTGTAGCGAAGTTAAAAAAATCGGTCGGAAAAAAATTGAGATATCGAGGTTTTAGTGACGTCATGACTTCTGATTTTTCGACCAAAAACGGCATACGTTCACAAATTCATATAAAATTACAGACCGACGTATATGTAGACATGCCGTAAACGCAAGTAGACTGCCCAGTGCCCATACCATGAACGATTAAATGGCTGTCTTCAATTTTTTATTATTGTTCATTTTGCAAAATCTCGAACTGAACCTTAGCAATTTTTCGTGACTACCTCACGACCAGATGCATGTATTTCTTCAATTGATCTTTTCCGACCAAACACGTACCTATACTCGCATGATAAAATGAACGTCACCATCGTGCTCTACGCCCAAAAGCACCCTTGCCGTGCGTCATGTGCTGCGAATGCCAATTTTGATTTTCGGGGATGTGTCTTCTTTATCTGATTGACCTGATCTTGATCCTGATCTACGCTTGAATGACCTCTACATGGATCTGACACTCGTATAGCACTATGTCTTATATGAAGGATTTTGTACAGTTTTGACAGAGTTTGTGACCAGAGACGCATAGTAGTTGTTCTATATACCCTGCACAGTACGAGGTTCTAAAGTCAATGCTAATGAAAGCCCAATGTCAGGTGTTTGACCTTGACCCGACCTATGGCTTCGAAATTCAACTTTCAAGCACTCGTCTGAAGCGTCTCTTCGCGTTCTTTCGGGCTGCCGTCTCGTGCGTTTCGCTGTTTTTTTTTCTCGAGTTATCAGCTGGGGGCGTTTAACGTCCCCCCCCCCCAGCATACGGCGGGTAGCGAAATACTCCAGCAACTGGCGGGTTAAACAATTTTGTTTGTATTCGACCAGGGTAACCAGGGTATTCAAGACACGAAAAATGTTAAACACTTTAATGGCTTGTGATACCTAATGAGCTTTTACAGCCCATGTTTCCAACAGTAGACTCCGAGGAACTTTTTGTCGCCAACGCTCCGTTCGACACCCCAAGTCCTTTGTCCATCTTTTACTGGAGATATGTTAGCTATCAAAGGTATAAGGCATGTCGGCATGTCAGGCATTGGCGTTTTACCAGGATAACCCAGCCGAAAGGACACAGCCGTTGAGCGTCATCGGGGCACGATATCACTAGCTGCCATCATTCATCAGTCAGTCACGGCTTCCACTTTTACAGTTTGATCTTGGCTGCATCCTTCTGCCGTCGGAGAGCGAAATCTTCCGTTCGTACTTCGTAGGTCCTCCTGCGGTGCGTCCATCGGTCCGTCCGTCCGTCCAACGGTCTGTTGGTTGGTCCGTCGATCCGTCGGTCCGTCCGGGTCCGTAGGTCGATCCATCGGTCAGTCAGTAGGTTCGTCCATCCGTCAATCCGTCTGTAGGTCAGTCCGTCCGTCTCTTCGTCCGTAAGTCGGTTGGTCAGTAGATCGGTCAGTAAGTCAGTCCGTAGCTCCGCACTCCGTTGGTCCGTCCACTTCGTAGGTCTGTTCGTTTGTCCCTAGATCCATTCGTCAGTCCGTATATCGGTCCGTCCGTTCGTCCGTCCGTTGGTCCATCGGTCAATCCGTCGGTCCACCCCGCGTTGGTCCATCGGTCAATCCGTCGGTCCGTCCGGCGTTGGTCCATCGGTCGGTCCGTCGGTCCACCCCGCGTTGGTCCATAGGTCAATTCGTCAGTCCGTCCCGCGTTGGTCCATCGGTCCATCGGTCCGGGAGGCGGCGGCGGCGGCGCGCGGGAGTCGCCGACCGGCCGGAGGGAGGGAGGGCCGGGCTGGCCGGTTAACTGTGCCAGCCGGACCGGCGCGCCCGCCGCGAAGGAGGTCAGCCGAGTGACACGGCCGTCCGTCGGCGGCGGCCGCTCAGTCCGCGCCCGTCGTCCGCCGTCCGAGCACCTCTCCTCCTGCTCCTCTCCGTCTGTGCCCGCCGCCGCCATGCTGCTGCCCGCCGCCGCCCCCGCCCTCGCCAAGCAGTGCCGCTGCGAGTCGTGCTGCAAGTGCGACAACAAGTGCGCCGTTCTGCAGCAGGAGGGCAGCGGCCAGTAGGCGGACATGCCGCCCGGCACACGCCCGCACTCGCCGCGCCACAGGTAGGACCCGGTGTGCAGTAGGTCTTACAAGGCAGCACAGCACAGCGCACCGCATTACAACACATTACAGCACAGTGCCGCACGTCACTGTGCTCTGGCAATCCTTGAGGACTATTGGTGTCAGTAAAACGCACCTCTTGTGCACCAGCTGGTCATACTTTGACCTGTGAATTCCCGTGCTGGTAACATCAATCATGGTAGGTACTCGTCCCTTAAAAATTGCACTGCCCTCATCTCACTGCGTGATACGCATTCTCAATTCAAAAGAACCGAGACAATCTCGAAGGTCTTGAGCGTTAGGCTATCAGCTGCTCAAAAATACAAAGACGCGATAAGTTCCACACCAAAGACAAAACCTACCAAAGAATTAGATTCCTGTTTAGTTTGGGCAAAGAGGATAAAAGCTTGCATTTCGCCAAAATAAAGAAACATTTGCCTATATTCGTCATACTGGGCGAATATCGAGCATAGAGTATCGAGAATAGCGAAGGGTGAGTTATAGGGTCATGACAGGATCAATTTTTAGGGTGGACTGTGGAGCACAGCGCATCATTATGTAACGCTTTCGGTGACTGATACTAGTTCTGATTTTGATATCTGACTACTGACTGACTGATTTCTGATTTTAATATCTGACTATCTAACTATTGATACTATTCTGGTTTTGTCGACATGCTTGTTTAATGTTTATGCTTGTGAAATGGTAAATACCTACCAAGCAGTGGGACAGGGCTTTTACATCTTCATTTGTTTTGTTTCGTGTTGTATTGTTCTAATCTGAGCGTACCCATTGACCCCATCTGATAATTTATCAAAAAGGAAACATACATTATTACATTGCATACATGCGTGCGCATGAGAGTGAATGGCCCACTGCAAAAGAGGTGGTCATATAGGGGTTGTCAAATGTTGCAGTCGTGCTATCAGTCACCTACGGGGCAGGTAACGATGTAAGTTCGATAGGTAAGGTAACGATGGATATGTAAGGATATGTAGGATATATATCATATAAATTATAACGATGTAAGGTAACGATAAGATGTAAGACCGCAAACATAAATAGCTTTTTAATTTCAACAAATCCAACAGATACCTACTTCAAGCTATATTTGTGCTTTATCAATATGGAACTTACTTGCGACTCAGAGCACATTAACTAAATTAGGCATAGGCTAAATAGCTAAAATGCAACTTTCGATTAGCAAAAGTCTAATGAAACGTAAGAATAGTTTAAAACCTAAATTTGGCGCACCTTGATGCTGAGCTGCTAAAAGCTTACAAAAGGTCGCGAATGGCTATTTGTGTAGCCATTAAGGCCCAGGACTAATATTTGAAAGTTATTCAGGCAGGTATAACTCCACATTATATGACAGCATGAATTGTAATGAAGGCGCACAGTTCTCGGTCCTTTGGCAACCCATCGAGAAATACTTACATCCAAAAACACTTACATTATTAGGCATTCCGATACTTCAGTGACTACAATTTTGAAGAGGAAAAATCAATTTGATTGAGAATCGTCTAAATTTATTAATTGAATAATGAATATTGTGCCTTTCAAGGAAGCAAGTAAGAGGTACCAAATGCTTTATCATTTTGCATAGGTACAAAAAAAACGAGCGTATGTTTTCACATTAGATTCCTTTTGGTGTAGAACGTAGCTAAATAATTAAGAATCAAGGTGTGTACCTTAGTAATTAAGAATCAAGGTAATGTTACTCTGCTCAAAGATCAGTCACTAATAAATATAAACAACTTGTCGAATGGTGACAGTCATGCAGTTTTACAACTGACATCAATCAATGTCAGAGAAAAATAATGTGCATTTCTTGACAAAATTAATACCTGCAATTGTGTCAACATACATTAAGAAGCCTCCCTTTTACCGTCGGTATAGGTATAAGCAAGGCCACATATAAAGTAATAAAACTAGCCGAGGAACAGACAACACTGAGGTGCACTATTGCATGACGTTCGGACGTAATGCAAGACGAATGTATGATCATTGGAAACTAAAGCATACCCATCTGTGATTTTAGTTCTGCAGGTAATATTCAAATGCCCCGTTACCATTGACTAACGGGGACTTTACCTACCCGACGAGCAGATACCAGTAGCCCAGAATGGCGCAATAACAGTTGCTCACTGTTTGCAAGCTGAAAAAGTTTGCATGACTCATATCACTAAGGCCCCACAAAGATAGCATTCGTTTTATCATAACCACACAGTAAGTCCCCGCATCATCTGTTTCGTTATCGCTGCATTGTTCCGCTTCAAACCTAGAATGGAACGGAAAAACATCCCCACAATGCGCATTGTTCAGAATGAATGGTCTTCCTGAGTGCACGTGTGTGCCAAAGCACAGGGTAATAACCAACTGCAAATGGGGTAAACACCAGCGAGCTGGTTCGTGTCTTACGACATTCATATATAAAGTAAATGTCACTAATGCTTCCCTACCTAGTCCTTGTTATGTCGTAGGAACTAGACTAGTGACTGTACTGTAATAGGTACACAACACAGAAAACGTCGAAACAATACTCTTCATACGACAACAATCATTTTGATTGAATATATCACAATGCGGCAATAGGGTCAGAAGGATAATGCCTGACAATGTTAATATGATAATGCTACAAAAAAATTATCATTAGCAACAAAGTGCTAATTTGTGTTTCGTTGTGGCGAAAGTATGAATAAATACCCCCTACCTCCCTCGTCGCAGCCAAATATTTTTGAACAATTATTAGTGACCGCAGCAACTGGTCACAATAAATATAAAAAACGATCTGCAGCACGACGTTAGCAAAGAAAGAAACGAACACCAACAAGCAAATTTATTTTCCCTCACCATCCTCTTCAAATTCACAAGTAACCACATATCTAAGCGGTGCGGAACTGGCGTGGGGCGCCGGTCGCCACACTGACCCACTGCGCAGCCGCGGCCTCCGCCGCCCTCCAGCTACTACGGGTGAACGCCCCGCAATAGCCTGCTGATGACCGAGCGCCAGCGTGGGCCTTCATTCCGCGACCTGAGGGTGAAAACCCACACAGGGCTGGACCGGGCGACGGACCCTTCCGGAATCGTCCGGCAACACCTTTCAATGGCCAAAACGCCCTGTCGGCACGCACGGAATTTCAGCGAAGCGTCCTGTTTTCCGGGACGGTGCTGATACACGTCAGATCGCTTCCTGCCGAGCGGCGCTGTCCTAAAGGGGTGCTCGCGCCACTCCCGCCCACATTCTTGTTGGCCGCTCGCTCGGTGTGATAAGATCCCGTGCCGGGGCGGGCCGGGCTCGGCGACAGGCGGGGAGCGCACCGGCGCCGACTGGCACCGACCATAGGCTCCGCAGCTGCTCGCCACAGCTGCCCCCTTGGTGACCGGGCTCCGACTGCTCCCCACAGCTGCCTGTAGGTGACCGGACAGCGTGGGAGAGCGGGCCCCAACCCCGATCCCTGGCCGGGAGACGGGAAGTCTGCCGTCGCCCAGCGCGCTTCGGTTCCGTTCCTTTGCGTCAGCCGTCTTGCGTCAGGCGTGATCGGGTTATCAACATAAACGAGCCAGCTTCACTGTTCGAGCGTGACTCAGGCGGCCGGCGAGTCTGAAGTCATTACCATACCACTGCCGTGTCGAGTCTGCCCTGTCGCACGCGGGGTATTATGTAAACACAACTGGTGTGAATTAGTCCCAATGGGTGTCTCATATTTCCTCATCAAAACCGGGTGACCTAACGATGAGCCTATCATGACTGCCCCCGCCCCCTGCCGGGGCTTCTGGACGCCGTCGGTCCGATCACGTGCAGTGGTCCGTGTATCGTGTCATCTGACATTACTCACTACCGGCTGATATGTGGGAATCGCCGTGGACGACGCCCGTTGCCAAACATCACAACAGCTCCGCCTAGCACGCGGCGGCGCGCCCGGCCCGCACGGCAGCCGCGCGTCAGAACCGCGAGCTGACCGCGAGCCGGGGTCGCACCCTGTCTGCGGCCCGCACCCCTGCCAGCCTGCACCCAGTCGCCGCACCCTTTCATGATATGCGAGCATCTAATCTGAGCGTTTGAGAAATTGTCTGTTGGAGCATTTGCAGCTGTGTGCCTGTATCCCGTCGCGTTTGGCTGCCTTTGCATTGCAATGCCTCAGACTCTTCTTATTATTTGTTATTAATTTAATTCCCTGCCGTCTGTACCTGTTCATCTGTGTATCACTGCCTGAATATGACTTTTGTGCTTCCTAATCACCAGCTGCTCTAATATAACCGCTGCACCTCCTCTCTATTAGCCATCACTCTTGATGGCTTATAGAGTCCCTCCACCCATGTCTGCCCTCATGTATCAGTTCCACTGTCTAAATCTGTTACCTGTCCCTAGCTGACCAAACTGACCTGTTAACCTGTATCCACATTCCAAATGTCCCCATCTGGCATCTGACCATCCGTGACCATCTTATCTTCCTCCTTATACCTATAGCTGCCCACCGTTATCTGACCATCTATCACGTGTCCACTCTGAGTCTGGACTGACCGTCAGCTCCACATCCACCCTCCATTAAATCTGCACCCCGTGTCCACATACTTCTCTCACTGTCCGTCCTGTGTCTGTCTCTAATTAACCCATGTCCCGTCTCTGTGTCCCCGTCAGTCCGCCGCCGGAGAGCCGCCGCCGGAGGCAGCAGCACCATGAGGAGCTGGTCGTGTGGCTGTCTGTCTCTAACCAATATCCCGTCTTTGTGTGTTCTTCAGACCGCCGCCGGAGAGCCGCCGCCGGAGGCAGCAGCACCATGAGGCTGCTGAAGCTGGCTGCGCCGGCCGTGCACAGTCTCTTCTCGTGGAGGCAGGAGGAGCCGGAGCCGGCCTGCCCTGCGCCGCCGCACGAGACCGCCACACCCACCCCCGAGACTACTAAGTCGCCACTGTCCACACCCAAACTCGGTACGTACCCCATACTGCTGAGCAGCGTCACACACTGGTGTAGCTTCAGTACAACCACAACACTACGGCATGCAGATAAGGTAATTACGATTATATAGAAACGGCAAAAACGGGCGAACTTTTGCAGCTATAAAGAGATTCATTCTTATCATGATTTGCTAAATACACCTTTTGTCATATCGGTACCACGCTTATTGGAGCCAATCTCCAAATATCATCCATAGTAGCACCACCTTGTTTTTGCTACTTACTTTGGCGGGTTAAATTTCACGAGCATTTTTGGTGGAGAAGCATTCGCTCAATCGTATTAGTGGCAGCTAAATAACAATTTCCTTGCTATTTGATGAATGAGATAAGAGGGAAACTCAAAAGGCGAGTGTTTAACTGACACGAACACACCGAAGCTGATGGAATGAGGCACTGTGAGCGATAACATTCTTTGTTATTTCAAAAAGGCAATGTTCGAGGAAAGCAATGGCGTACTTATCAAGATATGGAACTAGCCGATGTCAGTGTAGCTCGGGAATCGCAATCGGAAATAGACACATGTTTGAAATACGTTGGAACAAGGATGTGAGGGACAGTCCTCAAGTCCCGCGTTCTAGTAGCTGATAAATCGGACATTATCAATGGGAATTTATTTGTTTTTAAAGGAGCGGCGTTGTTCCATTCCCTCTGTCTACGGCATTGGATAACATCCGCTGCAAGGATTTTCCCAGCAAGAAATGGCCATCCAAACATGTCCTTGCGGCGTAATCATGCTTTTCCGCTTCTTTTCCTTTTCTTTCAGCGGAGAGCACTGCGCCCACGTGTGGCCCTGGCACATCATTTGTCCGCGTCTCTCACTGACGTCAGTGTGCCGGTAATTGAAGGTGATGTCGGACCTGACGCGGTGGTGGCGGTTGGACCCTTCACCGGGCCGCCGCAATCCGGGAGATGGAGATGGAGAGACGGATGTCCTTCTCTGTCACTCTTTCTCGTCGTCCGCCTCACGGTGCGGACCAGACTTTGGTTACCGCAGCCGGATCGGGTCGAGATTCTCTGGCAGGTATGCCCGCCGCCCGGCTGATGCTCGCTTCATATCGCCAACTGCTGTTTCCGACTGCTCAGACAAAGCCCCGGTCCTTAGCAGGCGAACAGCGCACCAGCGCACAGTGTGTGTGACAGACTCTACGGCCTGCATCCTAGCCGCCGGCCGCGTCAGGCCCCAGAAAATCGGTGAAACCTTCACACGAGTCGGCAGCTCTCAAGAAAAACGGCCATCGCCGTCGGCCGGCGGGCATTTCACTGCGCGTCGGCCGTCCGCGCGACAGAGAACGCGCTGTCCCGCCGACCGAAGGTGCCACTTTTCCCGAGAAGGCCCCTCTACTCGGGGAAACGCAGATGGGTATCCAGTCAGTGGTTAAGATCGAGCGATTACTGGACACAAAGGAGCACCCTCGTCTGATTAATAACACGACAATCTGTCGATCTCACAGCCGCACACACGTCATATCATCACGCTTTCCTGGCAAATATTCCATTTTGAAGTAAAATAAGCCTGAAGAAGCAGGTGTTTAGTCATACGAGAACTGTTCCTCATTACCACAATACACACAAATCAGCCCACGGCAACAAGATGTCATCGCCAACATAGCTTTTGTCAACAGTTAAGCACACAGAATTAAATAATTAATAAATGTGAGATCACAGGTGAGTGAGCCGCAGGGATCAGCTCTGCCACGATAGGATGAGGGGCTGATTTAGTCCGCCAGAGGCTGATTCAGATTCGATCACTGAGCTGGCGGGTCCGGCTCACAGGGCCTATACGGAGATTTTCCACGTCTCAAGCCCACTGCAGCACGCCAACATTCCGTTGCATGTGCATTACAGGCTGATTACAGGCGAGGCGTCGACACAGGCAGACAAAGTGCCGTCTTAGACGAATAATGAATACATTGGTTCCCTCATTTCCAGTTCCTACACGCCATAGTTCCGAAAGGAGCGGCGGTCCCACTGTGGTGTACTGGTGCACAGGGTTATCACTGGTTTACTAGTGCGAAAACATGCTTAAAACGGCGAATACGCCCGTAATGCCCATTGCAACTTCCGTCCGTGATTTTTTTTCTGCCTTTTACAGTTCTATTACCAGACCCGCTCTATTTGATCATATCAATTGTACACGGGATTTGCGTTTTTTGTTGGATCACAAACGGATTGCTGCGAGGAGTGCCAGCACCGAACATAGTTGATGCCGCGATAGCCAACGCTGGAGCCGAGATAGCTGCTTTTGCCGTCCGCCGGAGAATTCCCTGCGACGTCAAGTGCCACTGCCTATTACGGTCACGGCTCGCACCCTGGCTCATCCTGTTCCTGAGCACTGCGCCTTCCTGTGAACCAGCGCCCTGTATGACAGCAACTGGTTCCGAGTCTTCGCACACGCGTGCACCGACAGCAGCCTTGGTGTGCGCGGTCTACTAAATATCGGCCGGCAGAGCCGTGCGGCCGGTCTGAACGACTCTCCGTTCATCGGCCGAGCCGATCAACTGTGACTGCTCCTGAGCGGGCGGCCACAGCCCCGAGCACGTGCCAACGGGGTCACTGACCCGGCGGTCGGCGGGCGCGGCCGTCACGTGCCGCTGTGACGCCCTGCGTGACGCCGCCGCCGCGGACACCGCCGCCATTGTCGCCACCGTCACCACCGACACCGCCGCGCCGCTGGTGCCCGGCCGCCGGCAGAAGTGGTTCAATCGTGGCCGCCCCCGCCCCCGCCCAGAGCGGGCCGACCGGTCGGCGTGGGCCGCCCACAGTCAGACCGCGGGCGCCGGCTGCTGCCACCCTTGTCCCGGAACCAGGCCACGAGGGCTGGACGGGCCCACAGCTGGCTCGTCGCTGGCCGACAGGTCCCGGTCCGCTTCACGCACTGTATCAGAAGGCGGAGCGCCGCCGTTTTGGGGTGTCGAGCAGGTGGGCTAGCCGCCAGCGAGCTGGTCAGGGTGATAGCCTGGTCAGACTCTGATCTAGATCGGTCAGGCTTGGACCGGGGTTTATATGGTCTGATAAGTCGGCTGCCCGCCAGGTTGTGTGGCATATGTCTGAAGAAGTGGCCAACCGTCAAACAGCCCCGCTGAATCGACGGCCAGCTTTCTGTTGACTGGAGTGGCACCTCTGGTGGAACTCGCTCGAGGAACAGCTGGCCTCTCCCTCGGTGGGCTAGACATTAGTCATTACCTTGGGCGCAGTCTTGCTCCGTTCAGCCGCCAGTTTGTGGTCATTGGGCTTTCTAATCGCTTCATTTTACGCCGCAACTTGTGGGTCATGAAGACAAGGCCCCTGAACCCGGCGAAGCCCTGTTTCCATCTCAAACAATGGTTCGTTCGACACTATGAAAATGAGCTCTCGTCTTCACGTCATTCCACGTCGCCTAATGGCGCACTGACAGGCAACCGTAGCGTTTCTCTGTTTTACTTTTGTCAAACGAGGGAAGCAGCTATCTCGTACCCAGTCAGAAGGCGTTCAGGGTATTATTTACCAAGAAAGATTTTCTTAGAGCTGTGGAACATGGTTGATGGTTGTTGCTAGGCCCACTGAGGATTGTTAGAGGATTTGAAGCTGTCCATCCACAACATTCTAGATTACAGACTTCATTTTACACCTTGGGTGTTCGTTCGTCACGAACTGGTTACTGTTACAGATCTACATTTTTAAGACCCATTTGCAATCAACCGCCGACCTAACCACATTGAAGCTGAAACGGTACAACACCATGTAACAAGCCGCAGTATCCCTTCACCACCGCCGGCGAACAAATCAGGCTCGGCCCAATCTCGCGGTGTGGGCGGACTCACTTCTCCGCCTGTCTAACGCGCCGTGAACTAATTGGCCCACCTCGCCGACACTGACGCCGCCGAATACCGGAGCCCGGTCCGACTTGCGTCACGACCAGACGTCAAACGCAACGGGGCGTGACTGCGAACCGGGCGCGGCGGGCCATCCTCACAGACGCGTCCCGGCTTTACGCGGCTCCTGGGGCAGCTGCGCGCCCTCCGCCGCCGCGCCGCCGCCGCCGCCTGACGCAAAAATGTTTGCGCCACCGGTGACGCGATTGCCGCATAGTCGCCGCGGCTGAGCTCTGCATTAGCTGCACCGCTCACCGGATGTGGCCGCCATGGGACGCAGCGTCCCTGTCTGGGCTCATGGTATGTGCTGTGGGGGATGGGAGGATGGCGACCTGGGTAGTCGCAGGCAACGGGCGGCAGTCGCGTTCTCGGGGCCGCGCGTTGGTTAGTCGCATTCATCCTACGGCCACAGGCGGCAGCCGAAAGACTACACGATGTTTATTTCCAAACGGTCAGTGACCAGCCACGATTTGGTACAGGCTTATTTCGAAAAGGTAACTATTTATTCGGGCGACCCTTTTGGTGTCTTTACTTATTCCAAGAAATTAGTGCGCATCGATGCACCCACCAGCGGCTTCTGAACGGCAGCTACCTTCAGCCGAAGGGACCATCGTGATCGCGACTTAACCCGCGCCCCACTGGGGTCTGCGTATAACACGCCCTACTGGGGGGGGGGGCTATTCATAGCCCCCCTCCTAACTCCGAAACTACTGGGCCGATCGTCAAAATTCAAACGGCGTCTGATAGCCCCGGAAAAACTGTCGAGCGAAACCTAATTTCATTGACCTCGAGGTCACCGATGACGTCACAGGTCAGGTCAAAGTAAAAATTATTAGCATTTTGGCTTCTTCTCGTTTTGGGCTCTGGCCGCCGTCCTACAAGTCAGATCAGGCTCATTTTTGGTTCACACACTCGTGAACAGATGCTCTAGGTATTTTGAGGGTACCAAACTTGTACTTTGATTTTCAGGTCAAGGTCAGGTCATCACAGGTCACGAAAATATTATTTCATCCGTCGGTCACGTGACACATGTTTTATGGTCCATTTTGGCCAAACATTCCGAATTTGATGTCGTCTGTGTCATTCAAGGTCATTTTGAGTCAAATTTAGCTTGGGTCAGGT